TGAGGGAGCTCCAACCTGGGCCTGCACTGAACTTCTGGGTGCTGCCGTGACCCTGAGAGGCTGGCAGGTGGCAGTCTGCTGCTCAGGCAGTGGAGAGGAGCTGTTCCCCAGCTAGCAGCTGGTCCAGAGGCCTTCCCTGCAGGCCTGTATACTTCTCAACCCTGCCTTGTCTTGGGGTCCCAGTGTGTGATCCCCACTCTACCCAGGACCACCAGGGCATGACAGCTGCCTCTCAGGGGCCTGGGACCACTGGGTGCTTGGTAGGGCAGGCTGGGCTGTGTCCTCTATGCAGGAGGGACCTGGACGCTCCCCCACACGGTGCTGGGGAGTTGGCTGTCTGTGATCTGAGCCCCACCAGCAGATGAGGCCCACAGACCCAGGACGGCTTTCTCCTGGTGGTCTCCGTCTTGACTCCACTTTTCAAAAGCTTGTGATCTGTCCACCAGCCAGTCCACCTGCTCAGGGTCAACCAGGGCGCTGACCACCTTGTAGATGTGGCAACTCCCGCTCCTCGCGGAGAGCCTCCCCTCTCTCCTGCCCCATGGACAGCAGCCCTCCGCCCTGCCACCAGGCTGAGCCTTGCACCAGGAGGAGGTCCAGATTTTTCTGAGCAGGGCTGCAGGGAAAGTGGGGTACCTCCCTTGGGCCTGGGGATCCTCAGTTTTCTGATCTGTAGAGAGAGGGGGTGCAGAGGCCCTTCCTCTCACCGGGAGAGGCAGAAGGGGAAATAGAGGGAGTGGAGCTGGCATGGGGGGGCGCTAGCACTCGGGGCTTCAGGACCTCTGGGGGGGATGGGGAGCTCTTCAGCAGGCCCCAAGAACAAGGCAACATTCCTGGCAGAGACTGGGCAGAATGGCTGCCTCCTTCCGCCAGTCTGACCAGCATTGGATTCTTGTGAGTTTAAGTCTGGGACTTTCTGAGAAGGGACTTGGAGCACTACCTGTGCAGTAGGGAAACTGAGTCACTGAGGCAGAAGGGCAGCGCACCAGGTGACCTGTGACCGGCTCCTGCTGTGGTACGCCGATGAGAGGCCTCTTCTGTAGCCCATCTCCTCTCGGGCACAGGCTCTTCCGTTGGTCTGACTCCTCATGTGAGTGCCCAGCCCAAGGCACTGAGACTCTCGGGCGCCTGGCCACGTGGGATAGCCGGACACCCCTTTTCCGCTCCCTGGTGGTGGCTCCAGCTCTCCACAGTCAAAGGGAAGCGATCGTCATGTGCTGTGGCAGCCCCTCCCCCAGGAAGCCACCCTCCCAAGGGCAAAGCAGCAGGGGCCGGAGGGGGGGCACCTCCCCCCTCACTGGCATAGCCCAGGCCAGGCCAGCCATGTAGCAGCATCCTGGGACCTTTGTTGGCCTTATCTGAACCATAGGGGCTGGAAAGAAAGTGTCAGGAGCACTGGACATGGAGTCCTAGAGCTGAGTATGAATGCTGCCCTGCTCGCTGGGCTCTGTTACAGAGATGTCACCATGGTGGCTCAATGTCTGTGTCCCTGAGCAGGAGCAGGGTGCGGAGGTGACCGTGGGGAAGCGCACAGAGGCTGCGAGACCAGGACTCCGTGGGCTGGCGCTGTGATGGGCACAGCAGCCTGGGAGAAGCGGACTGGGACCTGAGCCAGGCCGCCCTTCTCAAACCCCATGCTGCGTGTGATCCGCCTTGCTTCCGTGTGTGTGTGTGTGTGTGTGTGTGTGTGTGTGTGTGTGTGTGCATGCGCACTCACGCGTGCACGCATGCAGGGTGTAAACACCTCGGCGCAGGCTGGGTTTGGCAGCTTTCAGCAGCCCCGCTGCCCATGTGGCGCTTGGGGTTCACTGAGATGCCCAGGTCCTTCACACCCAAGCCCTTGTAGGCCGCTGCGTGGCTCCACTGCCATCGCCATCCGGCCGGCTTCCTGCCCGTTGAGATGACTCTGAATTCTCTGTCCCATCTCCCTGCCATTTCTAGTGGCCTCAGCCCGGCAGCCACATTTCCTCCCAGCCCTGGCAGAGGTGGCCCTGAGCCAGGAACAGGAAAGCAGGCAGCAGGTGCCCATGGCGTCTGGGCGGCCCGAGCCCGCGCCCCCTATGGAACTGCCTCTCTACCTGCCGCAGCCCTCCCCTCCCTCGGGCCTCCCTGATCCGGCCTCCCACGGCCCCAGCGCCCAAGCCCACTTTCTCTCCCTTGTCACCAGTAGGCTTGGTGGCGTCAGCAGGAGCCGGGTGGTCTCGGGGCTCCTGTGGGTCCCCGCACCGCCCCTGCGGCTCTCGGATGCCACGCAAACCCAGGCGTGGGTGTGGGGAGTGGAGATACCCGGATTCTGTGTGTGCTTGTTTTTTTCCTCCTTGGTGGTACTGGGGGTTTGAACTCAGGACTTTGCACTCCAGCCCGCCATATCCCCTCCTTGAAAGAAACTCGGCCCCTTCTGAGGCCATGGCTCTGCCCCCCTCCCCCAGCTTGGCCCCCTCTGAGGCCCTGGCTCTGCCCCTCCCCCACACACCTGTGACGTCACACTTAGGCTGTGCTCACTTGTCTACCCACAGGCGTTGTGAGACTCCGTGGGCCCCCACCTGCCCCTCTCCTCTCTGTCTAGAAACCCCTCGTCGCAGTAGACCCAGGCCTCTCCGTTGGTAGTTCCTTTGGAGACCGTGGAGGCAGAACTGGCCATTGGCCGGGTGTTTGGCTCACGGCTAGACTCCAGGAGTGTGCAGCCACCATGGGCTCTGGACTACCCCAGATCCCAGTGTAGACGGGGCCGCTCCTGGGAGCCATGCAGAACCAAAGGGGACATTTGCACCAGACCAGGCGTCCATTCAGAGAGGAACAGGGGTCATCACCCCTGCAAGAGAGAGGACAAGCAAGAACAAGGCTCTCTAAGGGCACGGCCGTCCCTGCAGTGTTCATCGAGCTCCAGAGAGCCAAGTCGTTACATAATGACACCATTCTAGATTCCATGAGAGGTTTCCTCTTTATTTTCCACAAACACACAATCACAGATATACTGGGGGGGACCCCAGGCTGCCACGGTGCTTTGATGTTGGGAAACGCAGTTTGCTTGAGAGTGCAGGATGAATAGCTGGGAAGGGTGGGGGGCACAAGGCTGAGGCCAGCCGCCCCCCGCTTCGTGGGCCATGCAGAGGCAGGAAGCGCTGGCTCCCCAGTGTCCTCCCAGGCCGGGCACGCTGGCCCTGGACCCCAGCTTTCAGCTCCTCGCCCGGGTGCCGCGCCTCACCTGGCGTCTGCGGCCACAGGGGTGGGATGGGTGCCCGGCCGGCTCAGCGTGAGCAGCCTGCCTCCTTCCCCAGGGCCCCTCATTTTCCCTGCAGACCAGGTGAAGGAGGGTCCTGGCTGTGGGGGCAGCACCCTCCTGGCCTCCCTGCCTTCCTGGAGCCTCGTAGGGCCACTTTCCCAGGCCTGTTGCCTCAGTTTCCCCTCTGTTGTGGGAGTTGACAGACTTGGAGCTGAGCCCTGACTTTGAGCACAATGACTGCTCCCTGCCTGTGACCAGGAGCCTGTGGTGTCAATCCTATCCATGTCCACAGGGGACACCCCGGGAGGGGGCCTTAACCACCATCCTGCATTCAGAACGTCTGGGAACCTCAGGGGAGGTCGGTGGTGATCCCAGGGTTCTCCCCACAGAGGTCTAAGGTTAGACCTCAGGAAGGACTTCGCAGCAGAGTGAGACATCGCTGTGTCCCCTGAGACTCCGGGGAAGCAGTGGCTGATGAGCTGTGTGTGCTCCGCAGGGCACCGGCAGAAGCTGGAAGACCAGACCAAGGCCTTCCCCGACCGCTTTGGGGACCTGCGCATGCGGGTGACCCCCAGCACGCCTAGCCCCCGCGGCTCGCTCAGCACCACCAGCCACTTCAGCAGCCAGGCCCAGACCCCAGTCCAAGGTATGGAGCAGGGGAGGGCTGGGGGGGAGTGCTGGAGGGAGGTGGGGGACGCAGGCCGGGGCCCTTCCCAGAGCCAGCCAGGCCCAGACCCTGGTCCAAGGTATGGAGCAGGGGAGGGCTGGGGGAGGAGGGCTGGAGTGGGGGAGGTGGACGCAGGCTGGGGCCCTTCCCAGAGCCAGCCAGGCCCAGCCAGAACTCTCCTGGCCTGCAGGTGTCCCCTGGGACCACAGAAACGCCCCTGCCCGCCTCACCCTGAGTCCCCTGGGACGCGTGGGGTTAAGCCAGTAGTCCCATTGGCTGCCGAGCCTGCCCTGCCCTCCAGAGGCTGCATGTGGCTGGTACGCAGGCTGGGCAGGTGGTCAGCCGCAGGTCTGACCCCCGACTGGGAGACTGGCTGGTACTGTGCCCCGGGCCAGGCCCTCTCCTCCCCCCAGCCTGAAGGCATCTGAGGCAGACGAGGGGCCCTGCCCGGCCCTTGTCACACGCTCCACGCGGGGTGTCCTCGTGGTAGGGGCTTGGCGATGCCCGTTCTAACGGCCCTGGGTGGGGAGAGCTCCCAGGCCCAGCCTGCGGCCTCCAGAGACGTGGAATGTGAGACTCCGCTTTCCAGCACTCAGGTGCTGTGGGTGGGGTTCGGCCTCCGGAGATGGGCGGTGCCCCATATTTGGCTCATGCCACCCCCCCGCCCAGGAACTGCTCCCCTTCTGACCCCCACCCAGGCCATCACGCCCAGTCTCCCTGGGCAGAGCCAGGTCTAGTGGGGAGTGGGGCCCAGCCAGGGACACCCCCGAATATCCAGCCCCGGAGTGAACCGCGGCTTCCGCTCCTCCAGCTCTGTGCAGGGAGACGGCGTGGTGTGGGGGTCAGGGCCCTTGGGGGCCAAAGCAGGCAGAGTTTCTGCGTGTCGCTGGGCTGGAGGAGAGGAGACGGCATTTCGCTGTCCGCAGGGCCTTGCCGGGAGCCCTGGCTCTGCCTTACGCTGTGATCTCAGACAAGTCACAGAACCTCTCTGAGCCTCAGGCCTCTCTGCCACAGGGGGCTTGAGCAGGCTGCCCTTGCCCTTGGGGAGCAGCTCTGCCTCCAGGCTCTGGCCCAGGGATCCCCCTGGGTGCCTGTTAATAGCTTTGAACCCCTGGCTTTGGTCACTAGCAGCAAAGTCAAAGCCCAGCTCCTCTGTGCCCCCTCCCCCGCCCCAGCCCCCACAATGGGGGCTTCTCACCACTCAAAGGGTCCATTCAGCCACCATGTAGCAGCCGGGCCGATCACAGAAGAAAATAAACATTTCCTGCACTGTTGGGATTGGCTGCTGGACAGCAGCGCCCGGGCAGCTCGGGTTTCCTGGGGCAGCGGCTGGGGGTGGGCACGGGACTGCGGAAGCGGCCGGGGGTCTGGGGAGTGCCCGAGGTAGGTATATGGAGGGGGCTGGGGAGACGGCAGGCCCGGGTCCTCCACTTCAGGACCTCCTGCCTGCTCTGGGGTCCTTCGTCAGGTGGGCAGAATCCCTCTCTGCCCTGCCCCCGGTGGGCTTGGGCTTCCTCTTCCCGGGGTGTCTGGGGACAGCAGGCATCAAGGCTTTTCACCAGCCAGGACCAGAGACCCGAGGAGAACAGGTGTTCCCCAAGGTCAGCTAGCACTCAGGCCGAGATGAGGCAGCTGGAGGCCATCCAAACCCCACCATGACCAGCAGGGCCCGACCAGGACTGGCACAGGCTTCACTGGGCCAGAGGATGCCGCTTGGCTGGTCTTCAGCGTCCTCCCCTGGCCCTCGGCCCTTGACGGGGTAGAGACCGTGGGGCTGGGCCAGGCAGGCATCACCTGAGCCCCACCGCAGCCAGAGTACAGGGGTCGGGACCTCACCTTCCAGGGTCCTGAGTGGCATCGTGTCTGCAGCAACGACTGCGCTGTGCCCAGCTCCACTGGAAAGCTGTAGGGACTTGATTCTTACTAACTGGTGTCGCCCCTGGGAAGTAGATGCTTAGAGAGGGTATATGACTTGCTCAAGGATGCACAGCTAGCGACGGTGAAACGCGGGTAGCTGTCTTGCTCCAGATGCCACATGGCTGGCCTTAACAGCCAGCGGCTGGGCAGAGAGATGATGGGGTTTTGCCCTAGATCCCTCATGCTCCCTCTCTGGGCCTCCCGTGTTCCCACTCACGCGGTGAGACTCAATGATGTGGTTACAAAAGTGCGGGTGCAGGCTGCGATGCTCTCAGGCTGCACTGGGCCGGCATGGGAGGGCCTGGGGGCGGGAGGCTGCTGAGCTGGGCCGCGCCCCCTCACGCATGCCCACCCCCCATTCCGCCCCCCCGCGGCGAGTTCACAACTGTTCACTACCGGAAACAAGCACCAGTCCTCTCTCCCCACCTTTCACACCCACGTCCAGACCTGGCACCCCGTCTTCAGCCTGCCCCTGCCTGCCAGGCTGGGTGGAAAGGGGCAGCGCTGGGACCCCAAGGCCCCCCTACAAAGAGGCCCTGGGTGTCCCGGGCTGCCCCTGACTCCCTCCTTGTGTCCCCAGGCACCTCGGACCTGAACACCTTCCCAGACCCCCGCCAGTTCGACCGCTCCTTCCCCGCGCTGCCCACCCTCACCGAGAGCCGCTTCTCCGACCCCAGGATGCATTACCCAGGTGCCATGTCAGCTGCCTTCCCCTACAGCGCCTCTCCCTCGGGCACCGGCCTGGGCAGCCTGGGCGTGGCGGGCATGCCAGCCGCCAGCCGCTTCCACCACACCTACCTCCCGCCGCCCTACCCCGGGGCCCCGCAGAGCCAGAGCGGCCCCTTCCAGGCCAACCCCGCGCCCTACCACCTCTACTACGGCGCCTCCTCCGGCTCCTACCAGTTCTCCATGGTGGCCGCGGGCAGTGGCGAGCGCTCGCCCACCCGCATGCTGGCCTCCTGCCCCAGCAGCGCCGCCTCCGTGGCCGCAGGCCACCTCATGAACCCCGGCTTGGGCCAGGCGGACGGCGTGGAGGCCGACGGCAGCCACAGCAACTCGCCCACCGCCCTGAGCACGCCGGGCCGCATGGACGAGGCCGTGTGGCGGCCCTACTGACCGCCCGCCGTGCGGGGGCCTCACGGCTGCCCGGACCCCAGCCCTCCGCCCGGCGACCCTGCGCCCACAGGACTTGGGCCACAGAGGTTCCCGTGGCAGCCCGGCCTCACGGATGTACTGACGTCCCCAGGACACTGCCCAGCCCAGACCCTCTGCCTCTCCTCCGGCCGCCGCCCAGCTGGGAAGAAGCCAGGGAACCCCTGTGGTCCGTGTACCACCCCAAGCTCCATGGGCCACGCCCACCCTCTGCATTGACACCCACTGAGTCAGAACTGGAAGCCCCTCCACCCCCCCACACCCGGTACCGGATCCTCTCTCTGTGGAGGGGGTGAGGACGCCCCCAGACAGTCCTCTGCCTGCCCCCTAGCTCCTGCCAGCCCACAGCAGACCCACGCAGCCCCTGTCCCGGGCCCTCTACGTGCCTCCCAGACCCCACTGCTCCTCCCGCCCGCCCCACAGGTCTTCCCGGAAGGTCTGACCCACGCCATTTTTGAGAGAGAACTTGAAGGCCAGACAGGTCCCAGCAGAAAGGGGACATCCCTGTCCCCTCGCTCTCTGGAGCTGTGGCTCTCACCCGCAGCCTCCTGACCCCTGCGCTCGCCTCCACCCTGTTCTTCACTCCAAAAGCCAACGTGAACCAAAACCAGTTTTTAAAACTGATTTCAGGAAAAGCAGCTTCACCAGACATTTTGAAACAAGGCCTCTTACAGATAAAAGCTCTCTGACTGTGAGCAGCCCACTGCCGGGACCCCCACCTCCCTCCCCCAGACTCACGTTTCTACATGCAGGGGACCGAGGGAGGCACCTGACCGTCGTGGCTGGGAGAGCAGACCTGGCCCAGGGGCTCAGGCTGGGGGTCCTGTCTCAGTTCTAGTCCTGGAAAGTCCAAGAGAGATCGCCAGGGCTGGCCAGGCTCCGTGGCTGTGGAAATCTCCCCTTCAGTGAGGGCCACCATGCCACCCCCAACTGTGATCACAGCCACGTTACGCGCCTGGCAGGCTGGGGGGTCCTGGTGATCCGTGCCCACCTCTCCTGCTGTACTTGCTCTTGTCCTGCCCTCCCTGGGCAAAGCACTGGCCGCCTCTTTAACTTAGTGGCTGGGGTGACCTGCGGGCTCTCTGGCCCCTTCTCAGGAAGCAGTTGCAAGGCCACTGCCCTCTTGCCTGCGCTACTCCCAGTCTGCTGTGACCGGCCAGCCAGGGAGGCATCTGGGTTCCTGGTACCCAGCACTTTGTAGCCCACCCCAGAAGAAATGACTACCCCTTCCTGGTACCCAAGCCCTGGTGGGACAGGAAGTAAAATTCCCCCTCCCCCTCAGGCCTGACAGTATCAGCAGCCGGGCTGGTAAAAATGGGTCCTTATTTGCAAGGCTGCTTTAAAGTCATGGTAGGCCAGTGCACTGAATAGGAAGCACCAGAGAGCAAAAAGTTCTGACACAGTGTTGCTGTGAGCAGTTCGGATCCTCTGTAGCTTTGTCCAGAAGCCGCTTGGAGCCCAGGGGAAGGGAGGGTGGAACTGCTTTGCACTAGCGTCCGCTTTGTGTGTTTCTGATGCACAACTTGCTTGTACAGTAAATGTCTTCTGTACTATTTAACTGTAAAGTGGAATTTTGACCGATTTGTTACAATAATATAAACAATGTGTTGAAGGATCCTGTGCCAGGTTTCAGGGTTGTGTGCCTGAGCGATGAGCGGAAGACCTGTCAGGAGCCGAAGCGGCTGGGCCTGGGGTGGGGACAGGGCGGAGCCTCCTGTGACAGAGATGCTCTGCCATCCAGCCAGAGATCGCGGCCCAGGGACAGCTGGAGAGATCCCCTCCCCCCACACGCATGCACAGGACCCCAGATGAACATCAGAGAGGTCACAGAGACTGACTTCCTACCAGAGGCAGAGGTGGAAGTGGCAGCAGGCCATGCAGACATCCCTCCGGGTTTGGGTTCCAGGGGGTGATAGGTTGGCAGTTGGGAAGTCGGGCCACAGCCCCACAACTGCCTTTGCACCCATTTTGCAGATGAGCCACCCAGATGCTATCAAGGTGTCAGGTTCCATAGCTAGAGCTGCTCAGGGCGGAGCTGGACCACAGCCAGGAGATGGGCGTGATGGCACGGCCATGCGACCCCTCCCCCCCACACCCCCAGCCTGGGCCGGGCCACGTTAGGTCACGGGGTGAGCTGCCCTGGGTGGGTCCTTCACAGCCGAGATCCTTTCACAGTGGGTCTGTGCCGGATCTCCTGTAGCTATAGGATCCCTCCACAACAAGCCCTGGGTGGATCTCCCAGAGCTGCAGAGCTGACCCGGAAGCAGTGCCACCGTGCCCAATGCCCTCCTTGTATTTGTGTGTATTTGGAGTCGCCTGGTAATGAAGCCTGGCAGGAGAGCTGTGGCCTCTGGAGCCTGTGCTGAAGCTGCCAGCACCTGTACCCCACTTGCCAAGGGGCAATGGAGACCCTGTTTAGCCCAGCACCCCCGTGAGCCCGTGAGGAAGCATGCAGTACTGGCAGTGGCCTGCAGGTGGCGGTGGGTGGGGCCTGGCTGCGCAGCGGGAGTGGGGAGGGCTGCCTGAGCTGCAGAGGTATTAGAACTTCCGGTCCTCTGTCACCTTGGACAGTCCTGGAGACTCTTAACGGGGAGCCGGCCTTCCTCATTACTGGGGTGAGCCAGTCCCACCCCGCTCGGAGCACGGGCAGGGTGACAGGCCCTGATCCCAAGGCCCAGCTGGACAGGGACTTACGGCTGAAGGGAAGGGCCGCCCCTGTCTGAGGTGGGATGAGCCCAGCTTCGGGAGCCCGAGGGAGGCTGCCCACCTCCCCTGGGCTGCCCCAGAATCAAGGGCCTGGAGCACCCGTTGGGGTGGGGAGACCATCGGCTTCCCAGCCTGGGGTCCCTGAGTCCGGGGTGGGCAGTCTGGGGCTGGCCCAGGGGCAGGGGAAGGGTGGCCTCCTGGACACTGGGCTGTGCCCGGCGCCTCCCGAGGGAGACGGGGCCACGAGGCTCTTACGCTGGGAAATGGCTGTCCTAGCAGGGTCTACCTGAGGGGAAACCGAGGGTCAGAGGAGACAGCATCACGTGACTCACGGAGGAGGAAACGATGGAGACCCTGACTGCTTCACTCCTCAGCCCAGACCCCTCCCCTGCTCCAGACTGCGCCCCGTAAATGGCACCCAGGGCCCCTGGCCCAGCTCTGGGCCACTTTCTACCACACCAAGCACCCCAGCTGGGCATGGGGATGCAAACAGCGCGGAGGCAGGTTCATCCTGCTGTCAGAAATGAAGCCGCGGGCCGGGCACTGGTGGCTCACGCCTGTAATCCTAGCTACTCAGGAGGCTGAGATCTGAGGATCGAGGTTCAAAGCCAGCCCCAGCAGGAAAGACCGTGAGACTCCTATCTCCAATAAGCCACCAGAAAACCGGAAGTGGCGCTGTAGCTCAAGTGGTAGAGCGCTCGCCTTGAGCTGAAGAGCTGAGAGACAGCGCCCAGGCCCAGAGTTCAAGCCCCACGACCGACAAAAAGAAAGAATGAAAGAAAGAAAGAAACGAAGCCGTGGAAGGGGCCAGGCAGGGGGGCCTGGTGAAAGGAGCGGCTGTGACCAAAGCCTGCCAGGCCTGGGGGGGGGCGGTGCTGGGGCCTGTGCCCCACCTGTGTGGTCCCAGTGAGAGGACCTGGGGGCCGATCCCGGCCTCCTAGCCCCTGTGCTGTGTGTTTTATGTATTTGCATCCCTCTAAGCTGGCCTGTGAAGGGGCCAAAGCCCTCAGTCCCTTCCCAGAGCTGCCTCCCTGGTCCTAGCAGGGCAGCTGCTGAGCCCTCACAGCCCCGCGCTGCTCTCTTCAAGGCCAGAAACCCACCTCCATTTACCAGGCCAGGAAGAGCTAGGGAAGCCATAGCCAGATGCTCACAGGACAGCCATTGGACTGACAGATGGTAGACCCAGCGAGGGCCAGGGCAAGTACCATTGCGGGGGGGGCACCCTTCAGATAGGATGGGGAGGAAAAAAGTAGGAAACGATCAGCAGGCAGGGGCTGGGAAGGTGGCTCAGTGGTAGAGCACTTGCCTTGCATGCCTGAGGCCCTGAGTTCGATTCCTCAGCACCATATAAGAAAAAAGAAAAAAGCCGGAAGTGGCTCTGTGGCTCAAGTGGTAGAGTGCTAGCCTTGAGCTGAAGAGCTGAGGGACAGCACCCAGGCCCAGAGTTCAGGCCTCACAATCAGACACCCCCCCCCAAAAAAAGGAATCTAAGAATCAGCAGGCAGAGCTGGGGATGTGGCTTAGTGGCAGAGTGCTTGCCTTGCATGCATGGAGTCCTGGATTCCATTCCTCAGTATCACATTCACAGAAAAAACCAGAAGTGGTACTGTGGGTTCAAGTGGTAGAGTACTAGCCTTGAGTAAAAAGAAGCAAGGGACAGTGCCTAGGCCCTGAGTTCAAACCCCAGGACTGGCAAAAAAGAAAAACTAAAAACCAAAAGAATCATCAGGCAGGTATGCGAATAGACGCTCTCCCATACAAACGCCCAGGAACCTGGCATAGGACCAAGCTGCGAAGGACAGCAGGGAAGAAAAGGAAGAAGCCAGCAGGACTAAAGGCATAGCTCAGCTGGTTAGCAAGCTCGAGGCCCTGAGTTCAAACTCCAGGTCTGCCGATCGTAATGGCAGTGATAGTTAATACTGAATGCCTGCCAGTCACTAATCGAAATACTTTCCCATTGTTAGCTCAGTGCGTTGACTCCTAATCATTTTACAGAGGGAACAGGGCACAGGTGCACCCCAATCCTGCCAAGGCATAGCAGTAGTGGGAGATAGCAGGCTTAAGTTTCCAGCCAGCGGAAGCTGGAAGTAAGCTCTGCGCCAGGTGGCGGGGAAAGGGAACGTGCTTACGCTCTGTGACCCAATCTTCTGCCATGGCCGTCATCAGGAGAGGAGAAAGAAGAAGCGAGAACGCGTCTTTGCTTAGAAGCAGAAGTTAGAAAGGACTCTGTAGGGTGGGCTGCGGCTCCCTGGCAGGGCTCTGGCCTCAGGACATCGCGTGCGTGGCTCTCCGCCTGGCTTTTTTCTTTTCGGTACTGAGGCTGGCACGCAGGGTCTTGTGCCCTCAGGCTTTTTCACTCAAGGCGGGCACTCCACCACTTGAGCCACATCTCCACTTCTGGCTTTTGGGTGGTGAACTGGAGATAAAAGTCTCCATAGGCTCAGGCTGGCTTCAAACCGTGATCTTCACATCTCAGCCTCCCTGGCAGCTAGGATTACAGGCGTGAGTCACTAGTACCTGGCTTACTCTGCGTCTGAAAAGCAGAAGCGTGGTTCTAGGATTCCACAAAGTGGGAAATTGAATGGAAAGTCGCATCCTTGGCTCCTTTGGGTACACCGCAGCCCACCCATCCCCGTCCTCACCCAGACCCCCACACATGGTAGGGTGTCTGCCCAGATAGCTTCTGCTTTTATGTTTTGCCCCATGAAAACAACTTCAGGCCCTATCCTCATAAAGCAACGTTAACCTGGGGGGTTCTTGCTGAGGCCAGCGGGTGGCCGGACGCCACAGCGGCCCTGAACACGCTCAGAGGCCCTGGCTTGGTTCCAGTGCTCTGGTGTGGCTTTGAACGGACCTTTGATGGGGGCTAGTCTTTGGGGAGCCTTTGGAAGCTCCTGGCCTCTCTAGCTTGTATCTCCCTGGCCTACAGGGAGCCTGGCAACGCCCCAACCTTTTGATTTCTTAAGTCAACAGTGGAGCCCGGCAGGGAGGGCACCCAAGACCGTCCAAGACCGTCCACCTCTATTGACTTGGAGGTTTTATTTTAAATGTTCCGTTTCCTTGAGGCGTGCGCCAGACCCACCAAGACAAACAGCCCGCAAGGGGCTGAGGGGCCCGGGGGGAGCTACCGGGAAGATGGCCCACCTTGGCCTGCCCTCTGCCTTCCCCCAGAAATGGCGTCTGGCATGGATGCTCCACACGAAGCCCCAAACTTCCCTCTATTCTCCCTGAGAGGAAGATGGTCACTCCAGCACACTGCAGCTGAGCACCCCATCAGGACTCGGGGAAAGGGGGCAGGAGCTGGCTACGAAGAGGTCAGAGGTGGCTTTAGCCCCCAAAGACCTCATGCCGGCCCAGCGCCGGTGGCTCACGCCTGGAATCCTAGCTATTAAGGAGGCTGAGATATGAAGATGGTGGTTCAAAGCCAGCCTGGGCAGGACAAGCTGTGAAACTCTTAACCAATAAACCACCAGAAAATGGAAGTGGCACTGTGGCTCAAGTGGTAGAGCTCTTGGCTTGAGCTGAAGAGCTGAGGGACAGCGCCCAGGCCCAGAGTTCGAGGCCCATGACCAACAACAACAAAAGCTCATGCCAGAGGGGAGGAAGGCTGTGAACAAAGATAGATATATTACATGATTCCAGATCATCGCAAGTGCTATGAAACTAAAACAAGGTTTGGAGGCATGGCTCGGTTGGTAGAGCACTCGCTCCTTTTGCTAACGCTCACCAATGAGCAAAAACAGTATCAGGAGCTGAGTTTGAGTCCCTGTCTTGGACCAAAAAAAACTAAAACTAGAGTATTTGAGGGAGGAAGCTTAGCAGCGTGCAGGCAGTCGGGAGGGCCTCCTGGAGGAGGGTGCAGGTCGGTACACACACAGCCCTGGTTCCTCCCTGTGTGCCACGCTAGGC